TTAAAGTATTTTTATAATTATTTAGTGAAGAATTTTGGCAAGATTTTCAAAATTTCCCTTCTTAAAAAAATTTCCCTTAGTGGAAAATTTATATTTTAAAGCATTTTGCTAAAATATTGTAATATTTTGTAAGCTGTACTATTTATCGAAATAGTTTAATAATATTTTTAAAATTTCCCTTATGTAAGAAAATTTTCCTTTTATGGAAATTTTTATTTTAATGTATTTTTATAAAATTTTGTAATTTTTTATTAATTGGATTATTTATTAAACAATTTTGGCGAGATTTTCAAAATTTCCCTTTTTTCAAAAAATTTCCTTTGTAAGAAATTTTTATTTTAATATATTTTTTTTTTATAAAATATTGTAATTTTTTATTAATTGGATTATTTAGTAGACAGTTTTGGCAAAATTTTTTAAATTTCCCTTTCGATATAAACTACATTTATTCTTCTTTTCATTTATTATTTGTAATTATTTATATAAATATTATTTTTCATTAAAAGGTACTTTGTATAGTATTTTGTCAATATTTTTAATACTTAAGTCAAAGTGAACAAAAATATACCAAAAGGAATAGAAAATTATTATATTTATGTATTAGAATACATTTAGGTTTATTTAATATTCCAAAAGAACACTTTATTTTGTTATTAATATAACAAATATTAATAAATTTTGCACAAAACTTGAGTTATTGATAATACAAAAGACCTTATGAAGTTAAAGATTGAATTAAGTGTGTACGAAACATATAAACAGTGGAACAAAAAATAAATCACACAAAAAGACTTGATCTATGTTTGAAATATTGTAAAAAGGGTTTTATCTAGTTAAAATATTTAAATTTACAAAAATGTTTATGTTTCCCTGTTAACATGTTTAACTACTTGATAACATAAACATTTCTGCATAAAAAAATATTGATTTAATATACAATGTATTTACATATGTCTTTTATTGAAATGTTATTTTATTTCAGTCACTTATGTAAGCATGTCATTTTCAAGTGTGTAACTGTAAAATGTGTTAAACATAATTTATAAAATTTACATTTTAACTAACTCTTTATATATTCCAAATATGTCGCTTGTCTTTTACATAATTCTAAAATTTATTTCAAATATGTTTCAATTCATATTTCAACAACACTCTCTTGTCATAATCGTTTATTAATAGAATTCTTAAACAGCATTTCCTTCTAAATCATTTCTAATGTAAATCTAAAGCTTAACAATTGCTATGCTAATTTAAACACATACATACATAAGTATCAAAAAAATCATGAGAAATTATCTTTTATTTAGCTTATAAATCTTAATGTATGTTGATGAATCTTAATGTGTTTATTTTAATAGCTTATTGTTGTCTTTATATTTTTTTGTTCATTTATGCGCCATTTAAAAAGGCTTTAAAACTGAAAATATTTTCTTGTTGTTTTGTTTGCTTTAAATAGAGCCATTATTGTTAATTGGCCATATCATGGTTTATGGTGCGTATGATTTATTTACACAAAAAGTTGTTCACATATTAGCACAATACTCATACGACCCAGGGGAACGTATGGTAATAATGGAAATGTGGTAAATATGTATTAAAATACTAAATGCATAACATTTTAAAGAAGAAACATATTTAATAGACAATAATAAAAGTAATAATAACGTCGCTTAATAGCTAAACTAGACTACAAGGTTATATATTTTTGTTAAGCAATTTAATTTTATTTTTGACAAAGATATTTTAAAGGTTTTATTAATAGTTTTAATTACGATGCTTAAAGTGCATGTGTCTTTTTAGCAAATATCGTTTTAGCAAAAAAAAAAAAAAAAAAAAAAAAATCGATTAATTATCTTTTTTATTCGAGTTTTTAATAAACTTCAATTACAAATTTTTCTTTTTTAAAAGATGTTTGAAAATTCAGCTTTTTTCTTCATTTTTTTTATAGATTTTTTTTTTTAAATTTTACTTTTTATAAAAAAAATTTTAAAAATTTATTTTTGATAGAAAAAAACATTTTTATAGAAAAATTAAAAAAAAAATAATTTTATATACAATTACTTTTTAAAATGTCTCTTTTTATATATAAATAAAATAGAAAATATTCTAACCAATTTTTCTTTTTTATAAAAAAAATCTAACAAATTTATCTTTTTATACAAATTTTTCGAAAAAATGTGAAAAATGTGAAATGTGAAAATTTGAAAAATTTTTATAAATAAAATTTTTTAAATAATAATTATTTATAAAAAATATTTCTCTTTTTAAAGCATATTTTCAAAATTTTTTTTCTATTTAGAAATATTTTTAAAAATGTTTTTTTTATAGAACATTTTTTAAAAATGTATCTTTTTATAAAAAACTTTTCAAAAAAGGCTTTTTATAAAAATTTCAAAAATTTTACTTTTTTATAGAAAATTTTTCAAAATTTTTTCTTTTTATAGAAAACATTAAAAATTTAAAAAAAATTATTTTTATAGAAAATTCAAAAATTTATCTTTTTATAAAAAATTGTTCAAAATGGCTTTTCTTCAAAAAATTCACTTTTTTTAGAAAACTTTCAAAATATTCTCTTTTTATAAAAAATTTAAAAAATTTTTTCTTTTTAAAAATTTTTGAAATTTTCTCTTTTTATAGAACATTTCAGAAAATTTAAAAAGATTTCTCTTTTTATAGAACATTTTTGGAAATTTCTCTTTTTATAGAACATTTTTGAAAATTTCTCTTTTTTTAAAGAACATTTTTGAAAATTTTAAAAAATTTCTCTTTTTATAGAAAATTTTAAAAAATTTCTCATTTTATAGAAAATTTTCAAAAATGTCGTTTTTTATAGAAAATTTTCAAAAATGTCTCTTTTTATAGAAAACTTTAAAAAATTTCTCTTTTTATAGAAAGTTTTAAAAATTTTTTCCTTTTAAAGAAAATTATTGAAATATTCTCTTTTTATAGAAATTTTTAACATTTTTTCCTTTTAAAGAAAATATTTGAAATATTCTCTTTTTATGTTTAAAATTTTCTCTTTTTTTTAGAAATTTTTTAAAATTTTCCCTTTTTTTCGAAACTTATTAAAAATGTTCTCTTTTTATTTAGATTTTTTTTTTAAATTTTCTCTTTTTTAGAAAATTTTTCGAAATAGTCTCCTTTTTTAGAACGTTTTTCAAAATTTTCTCTTTTTTTAAAAACTTTCAAAATTTTCTCTTTATATAGAAATTTTTTAAAATTTTCCCTTTTTTAGGAACTTATTAAAAATGTTCTCTTTTTATTTAGATTTTTTTTTTAAATTTTCTCTTTTTTTAGAAAATTTTTCAAAATTGTCTCCTTTTTTAGAACGTTTTTCAAAATTTTCTCTTTTTATAAAAACTTTCAAAATTTTCTCTTTATATAGAAAATTTTTTGCTTTTTACAGAAAATTTTGAAAAATGGTCTCTTTTTATAGAAAACTTTAAAAGAATTTTTCTTTTTATAGAAAATTTTTCAAAAATTACTCTTAACATAGAAATTTTTTAATAAAATTTCCCTTTTTTTGGAAATTAAAATTTTCTCCTATCATAGAAAATGTTTTTAAAAATTTTCTTTTTTATAGAAAATTTTTCAAAAAATTCTCTTTTTACAAAAAAATTTTCAAAAATTCCCCTATTCACAGAAAGTTTTTCAAAAATTCATCTTTTCACAGAAAATTTTTAAAAAATTTCTTTTTTTATAGAATAATTAAGAAATTTTCTCTTTGCTAATTTTTTGTTACAAAGAAAACTTTAAACAACTTTTAATTTGAAAGAAAACTTTTGATAAATTAAAGAGAATTTCTGTTAAATTACACTTTAAAGAGAATAATAAATTATTTTCATTATTATTAGAAACATTTTCTTAAAAATATTCCTAGATTAAAACACAAAATACCCCCAACCATTATATATAATATTATTCTAGACAATTCTCCTCTATTTCTTCCTTTTTGCTGTCTAATTCTATGCCGTTTTTTGTATAATTTTCTAATATATTATTTTGAAAACTCATTATTAACAAACGCTTAAAGTAATTTACTTATACCATATTTCTTTTATCCCACAAAACCCTTACCTTATCTCCGGCTAAATTAGGCAATTATGCCGAAATAATAAAAAGGTGCTGCTCTATGTCTATACAAAAATTTCATAGGAAAAAAAACCATGAACTTATAAAATATTTGCTTTTTTTCAACGAAAGCTTTTATCTGCTAAAAAGAAAATAAAACCTTAAAAATTCTTTTCTTTATATATATTCTTTTATAAAAAAAGTTGTGCAATTTATTAAAAAATTGTAAAAAGTAAACAAAAGGTACAACAGGACGTATGAGTTTGTTCCTAATACAACTGAGAGTATTAATATAAATCATACGCACTATAGGCCTTGAAGTTTTTAATGATATATTAAAATGTAGAGCAGACAATAAACAAAGTTTTGAATAATTTGTTAAGGTTTTTGAATTACAAAAAAACCATATGAATAGAAAATAAATATAAATATATTTTTCATTAAAATTTTGTTAAAAAAGAGAATAGGACGTTTAAAAATAAAAAATAGCATTAAAATATATGTAAAAAAAACGCTGTCATTGCTAGTAGTAAGCTTGTGGTTAAAACAGTTTAAATTTCTTTACATATTTTTCAACCTGCTTATTGCATAAAACTTGTATTAGTATTACAATATAATTCTAAGTTTAGATTATATTTTTATGTAAAATAATTTTTTTTAACACATCTCTTATGATATGTTTAAGATTACTTGATGTCTTTTTCAAGTTTTTATAATCCTTGACCTAATGATGTTTTGAAACTAACAATTCCTTAAGAAAAAAATACTAAGAAGCTTAACATATTTTTCCTTTAAAAAATTCACTAAAAAGCATTCATTAAAAATATGAAACAAAATAACAATAAGTAGTAAAATTCTTATACAGATATCCTACAAACATCTCAGACATATACGAATATGCAGAGAAAAGAAAAAATACAATAACTTACCTATAAAATAATTTGTAACAGTTCGCATACGTTTTGTTGTCATAACAATCCAAACAACAATAAGATTTCCGCCAGTCGCCACAATAACCATGCCACCAAATAAAATGCTCCACAATACTTGGCGCCACCATGGCAATATAAATGAAATATCTCTGCAAGAAGAATGGTGGAAACAATATGATAAAGAATACAAAATGAAATTTAGCAAAGAGTGAATAAAAATAATGACAGTAATCAGTGTTAGAATTTAGATTATTCTTAAGAAATATAAAGTTAAATAAGATGTTAAGATTTATTTGCACTTTGTTATGGGATTAAAGTCAATTGAAGGTATTATTGTTGTGGATAAGAAAGTGTTAACGAAGAGTCTATAAAGAAAATTATAGAAAATGTTCGAAAAATTTTTCAAAATTATGTTTTTTCTATGAAAAATTTCGAAAGTTTCTCTTTTTATAGAAAAATTTCGAAAATTTCTCTTTCTAAAGAAAATTTTTGAAAGTTTCTCTTATTATAGAAAATTTTCGAAAATTTCTTTTTTTATATAATTATTTCGAAAATTTCTCTTTTTATAGAACATTTTCGAAAATTTCTCTTTTTATAGAAAATTTTCGAAAATTTCTCTTATTATAGAACATTTTCGAAAATTTCTCTTTTTATAGAACATTTTCAAAAATTTCTCTTTTTATAGAACATTTTCGAAAATGTCTCTTAGTATAGAACATTTTTGAAAGTTTCTCTTATTATAGAACATTTTCGAAAATTTCTCTTTTTAAAGAACATTTTCGAAAATTTCTCTGATTATGGAACATTTTTGAAAGTTTTTCTTATTATAGAACATTTTCGAAAATGTCTCTTATTATAGAACATTTTTGAAAATTTCTCTTATTATAGAACATTTTCAAAAATTTCTCTTTTTATAGAACATTTTCGAAAATTTCTCTTATTATAGAACATTTTCGAAAATGTCTCTTTGAATAGAACATTTTCGAAAGTTTCTCTTATTATAGAACATTTTCGAAAATTTCTCTTTTTATAGAACATTTTCGAAAATATCCCTCTTGTTATAGAAAATTTCTCTTTTTATAGAAAATTTTCGAAAATTTATCTTTTTTAAGAAATTCTTCAAAAATTTCTCTTTTTTATGAAATTCTTCGAAAATATAACTTTTTATAGAAAAATTTCGACAATTTCTCTCTTCATAGAAAATTTCGATAATATCACTTTTTTTGTAGAAAATTTGCCAAAATTTCACTTTTTATAAAAAAAGTTCGAAAAATTTCTCTTTGTATAGAAAATTTTCGAAAATTTATTATTTAAATTTTTTTTGAAAATTGTCCTTTTTTATAAAAACAAATTAAAAAACCTCAATGTTACAAATTTAATATTTATGCACTGATAACAAATTTTTACCTTTATTCTCTGACTCTGGCATTTAATGGTTTGTAACATTTGCAAAATGTATAAAGACAATGTCAACTAAAATGTTTAAAGTTTCTGCAACACAAACAACATACATAATAAAAAAGTACTTTTTAATTAAAACTCATAAGTAGTATGTTTGAAGGGATTCCAGGCCACTTTTTAATGACAGACATTGCAACCGAAATGTTCGAAGGTTCGATCGCTGTTTGGTTCGATGCAACCAGTTAATGTGTTCGACGATGTTCGTTTGTTTGTTACTTTAGCCACATACAACAACATTATATTTATTGTGAAATCAAAATAAAGTAGCCCGACGGTTCAAGGAGGTAGTTTCAACCTAGTGACCGACGGTTCAAGGAGATAGTTCCAACCTAGTGACGTTGCATATAATGGTTTACCACTGGCGGCTAGGCTGATAACCAGACGGATAGAAGATAGGAGGTGTGGTAGGAATAGGGATAATATAGAAAGGTGAAGGATTTAGGATGATCGAGATGGGGAAAAAGAGAGGGAGGATGGAATGTTGAAAGAGAGAGAAGGATAGATAGAAGATTCGAACAATATAGTTTACTTACAGTTTAGAGTTAGGTGACAGACCCGTTTAGGGTTGCCACTTGTTCAAGAAGAATTGGCTTTATGACTAGTTATTCCAACATGGGCTTAGAAGATAATGACTTTTAAAGTTAAAGGTAAAAAAGTTACATGTTTCCACACCCTAGGTTACTTGGGGACACTAAAGTAACGATTGACTAGTCTATGCATTTCAAAGGGTACATTAGTGACTAATGACCCAAATATATACTTTTACTAATGTCTATCCACTATAGTGGTTTGACTTTAGTAAAAATTATAATCTTTTACGTGTGTACTGACTCCTGGTCGAACTGCTGGATTCATTCCAACCAAAATCGTTGGTTGGTTGTTTGTTCGATCGACTCAAAAATTGTTATTTTTATAAAAAATTAATCGAACATGTATGAATAATTCCATATATGACCAGAGAGGGAATAGTGGTGATAAGCAGAAAAATATCAGACATAGTCGACCTTATTATATCCTAACCCATTTTCATATTTTAGCATTAATATCAAACTGTAACATAACTCCATTTTATATACTTTTGAATACAATTAATACATTATAAACAAATTTTTAGGAATTGGATAGGTGAATTTATGTTCGTATAGAACTTATTTATGTTGAGTTTTATTGGGATTTTAATATGATGATCGTCTGCTTATTAAAGATGATCATTTTTATAATGTTTATTTCTTGGTTGATTTTTTAAAGTGCGAATGCGTATTTTTATTTACATTATTCTCTTCTTTTGTTTATATTAGAGTTAACATTTGTTAGCATGTGCCATGTACTATATGCTAAGATTGTCGTTTATATGTATGTTGCTATAGTTGACAGTTTCTAACATGTTTGTGCATGATTTCTACATTTAAAGAAAGTTAATATTGAGGCGTGAATCAAGTTGATTACTTTCTTCAGTTACGTTAGTGCATATTTATATCTTAAATGAACTGATTCAATTAAAAAATTATCAAGTGTATGTTTATAGTTACTTCAATTCAAATATTAGAGAAATAAATAATATTTCAATATATGAATCCAAAGGAGTTAACATAAAAAAAATAGATTATTGACTTGTCATACATTTAAAACAAAATATTTTAACGTATTATATTCAGTATACTTTACTACTTTCCCAAGAACGGATCAATTGTTCTAAACTTACTTTTTTAATTTATTAAAAATTTAAACATTTAAATTTTGTTAATTATACTATATTTGAAATAAACAATTAAAATAAATTAAATAAAAAAAATGCCTGAAATAAGTCATGAATCCACTCCAGTCAGTGCTGCTGCCGAACAATCAACATTTAATGGTTTTATTAAAAGGGAGAAGAGCGCGTTTAAAAACAGAATTATCACATTATCATACAATATCAATAATGAACAATGTCTCATACCTGAAATATTGTTGAAAAAAGCTGGCAGAGAATTTATGGAGGAAGTCTATAAATTTTTAAAACTTAATATTGGCTTAAAGTTCAACGTTGAACTCCATGCTCTTTACGCCAAGCCCAACTTAGATGATTTAGAAAACACCCCATTAGATGTGAAAAGTTTTCAAACAAAAATGAAAGAAATGTTCGACATCAGCGAATTTGAAGTAAAATTTACCAACAATATTGGAAGCATTTTACAAAAAATGGAAGAGTTTCAGGAAAGAGACAGTGGTTGGACTTTAGTACAATTAATAAAAGTTGTTCTAAATATAAATAAGTATCAGCCACTGAAGGGTTCATCCTATATATCACTACCCAAAAAATTGTTAATGAAGAACGCATGCGTAAATGTCAAAAATAATGATGAATTTTGTTTCAAATGGGCCGTGATTTCAGCTATAGTTAATTTGGAAACAAAGGCAAATCGTACATCAAATTATAAAGTGAATATTTTGTCGAAAAATATTAACTTAAAGGGCTATTGCTTAAATTTCAATGGGTTGAGCTTCCCATTAAAAATAAAGGATATAACCATTTTTGAAGAAAATAATCCATGTATAAGTATAAATGTATTTGGATATGATGAAGCAAAAAACATTGTTGTTGGGCCATACTATAAAACAAAATGCAAAAAGCCTAATCATATTAATCTTTTATTTCTTCAAAAAAGTATTGGAAATAATACCATGTGTCATTATGTATGGATTAAATCTATTTCAAGGTATGTATAATATAAAAAAAAACATATCCTTTTGACTATTTGTATTTTACTTATTTTACAGATTGATTAGAAACCAACAAACGAAAAGAAAAGAGAAGGTATTTGTATGTGATGATTGCTTACAACATTTTCATCTGATAGAAAAATTGGTAGCACACCAGAAGAATTGCGGTCAAAAAGTATCTTATATTCCGGAAAAAGATAAGTCTACTTTACAATTTCAAAACTATTGTAATTCCATGGATGTACCGTTTGTAGTATATGCTGATTCTGAATGTATATTTGAAAATATTCAAACATGCATTCCGAACATGGATTCATCATCGACAACATTAGTTGATAAACATATTCCATATGCATTTTCATACTACATTAAGTGTGCTTTTGATAATAGTTTAAGTAAATTACGTAGTTTTAAGGGATTTAACTCAGCAAAATTATTTATAGAGAATTTAGTATCAGATGCTAAATTTTTAAATGATAATTATTTAAAAATATTATACCAATGGCACCCTTGACCGAAGAGGAAAATTTAGATTTTTATTCAAATAATATATGTCATATTTGCTCAAAAAAATATTTTAAATGAAGAAAAGTAAGAGATCATTGTCATTTAAGTGGAAAATATAGAGGACCGGCTCATAATACTTGTAATATAAATTACAAATTACCTTCATTTATCCCAGTTATTTTTCACAACTTTTCGGCATATGATTGTCATTTATTTGTGAAAGAGCTTAATAATATTGATGATGGTCCCATTAATATTATTCCACTCAATAAGGAGTTGTATATATCTCTTTCAAAAACTATTAATAGCGATAACGGTCGCAATATTGAAATAAGATTTTTAGACTCATACCGGTTTATGACATCGAGTTTAGATAATTTAGTTAAAAATTTAACTCAGGATGAACTGAAAGTCGTCAAAGAATTTCATTCTGACGATAAAAGTAAATTTAATTTGTTAATAAGAAAGGGTGTTTTTCCATATACATATTTAATTCAATAGAAAAACTCCAAGAACCTTGTTTACCAACCATAGATGAGTTCTTAATAAATTAACTGAATCAGAATGTTCTATAGAGGACTATGCACATGCACAAAAGTTTGGAATACTTTTGAGTGCAAAACATTAGAAGATTACTTAATGTTATACTTAAGAAGTGATGTTTTATTATTAGCCGATGTATTTGAAAACTTTAGATTAGTCTGTAAAAACATCTATAATTTAGATCCATGTCATTACTATACGGCACCCTGGTCTATCTTGGGATGCAATGCTAAAAATAACAAACATAAAATTAGATTTGCTTACCGATATTGAAATGATTAATTTTTTACAAAAAGGAATTAGAGGTGGAATGGTTCAATGTTCTCAAAGACATTCTGTTGCAAACAACAAATATCTTTCTGACTACAATGACAAATTGCCCTCTAAATATTAACATATTTAGATGCTAACAACTTATATGGTTGGGCATGTCTCAATCTTTACCAGGAGTGTGATTTTGAGTGGATTGAAGATATTAGAAACTTTCATTGGAAAGTATTCCGATAGATTCTGATACTGGATATATTTTAGAGTAAGATTTGATATATCCCATAGAAAGTCATGTAGTCACAACAATCTACCCATTTTGTTGTGAAAATAAAGCACACCCAGTTCTAAAGAGAAAAAATTAATTGTGGATTTAAACAACAAACATCAATATGTACATCTATTATAAGAATTTACAAACAATGCTTAAACCACGGTCTAAAATTAATAAAATACATAGAATCCTAAATTTAAGCAGTCTAACTGGTTAAAAAGTATATTTCCTTAAATAATTTCACACCGAACAAATGCTAAAAATACATTTGAGAAAAATTTTTTCAAACTGCTTAAATACGCTGTATATGGTAAAACTATGGAAAACGTTGATAAACGTAAAAACATTAAAATTGTGAGTAAATGGGAAAATGAAGGAAAAAGACTTGGAGCTCGTGCTCTAATAGCAAAACCAGAATTTCATTCTGTTGTATATTTGAAGAAAATATGCTAGCAATTGAATTAAATAAAACGTATTCATTTTATAACAAACCCATTTATCTAGGTTTTACAATTCTAGAACTATCTAAATGGAAGATGTATGATTTCCATTATGATTATATTGTTCATAAATACAATTCAAAAGCTCAACTTAATTATATGGACACTGATTCATTCATTTATACAATGAAACGGATGATTTCTATAAAGATATAATTGATGATATCGATTCAAGATTCGACACTTCGGAATACGAATCTGATAATCGTTTTGGTATACCAAAAAAGAATAAGAAAGTATTAGGAATGATGAAGGATGAAAATAATGGTATACTTATGAAAGAATTTATAGGTTTAAGAGCTAAAATGTATTCATTTAAAACTGAAGATCATAAAGAAATCAAAAAAGCTAAGGGTGTCAAAAGTAATGTAGTTAAAAATTTAAGTCTTTCAGACTATAAGAACTGTTTGTATAATAAAAAAGTATATTATGGAAATATGATTATCTTTAAATCAAAATTACATGTTTTGTACACAGCATATATAAATAAAATTAGTTTAAGTTATTTAGATAATAAACGATTTATTTGTAATAATAATGTTAATACTCTTGCTTGGGGGCATTATAAACAAAAACTTTTAATAAATAATGA